CTCTGAAACTGAAACCTTAATAGTAGAAAAAGTATCACAAAATGATGGCCATGCCTTTTACCACAGAATCTGTTTGCTCAATTTAGAGAGGAAAATAATGAGTAATCATATAAACGCAAAATTGTACTAAAATATTGTCGTTTGTGGGTCCCACATTTTCTGATTTTCCACTTCATCATCCCCTCTATGTTTCTTATTTACACGCCCACCCCTTGTTTTAGTACAAATTTTTAACTAATAAATTATCCCAAATTCTTGATTTTGTTATTGGTTGAGTACGCACTGGAAACCTTATTTTTCTTCTTTTGTGGAAATAGTTCAATTAATAAACATTAGTTGGAGTAAATTATTCATCAAAGTTCCAATTCTAATGGTTGCTGTCAAAAGCAAAAAAAATATGTTTGTTCGTTTCACGGGTTGCAAATATAGTAACAACATTTTAAATTTGCAACTAAAAAAAAGTTTTAACTAATAGAATAGTATCGTTAGTAATCTATGAGTGATATATATATATATGATTGATAAACACAAATACCTGATATAAAAGGGCAAAAAGAAATTACTTACAAACGTCTAAAAAGGCAGCAAAAATATTTTAAAAAATTATTATATTTGCAAAAGCATAATTCTATTACTATATTTATAAATATGATCATGTGAATTGCTATGTTTGTCGCTTTGAGTGATAAAAGCATTTATTTACCATTCATTTCAATAACTTTAGCCAATTGTACTATTTGGTCCATTTTCTTTTTCATGAATAATTTTAAAGACATTCACACAAAGTTCTGTGCCCACCAACACTCATGTGGATACGAGGCATTCAGTTTAGTACAATATATAGATGTGAAAATTCAAATTCGTGACTTTTTAATCGAATATAGATGTCATGGTACATTTTATTTAGCAACTAACCCATTACCATCTGCGTTGTGGATAAATATCAACGACACAAAAATCTTTCTAGATTAGAGATTCTTTCTTCCAAAAGAAGATTCTTTTTGCTGA